ATCCAGCCCAGGCCCACCAAACAACAATGATGGCTGCAACAAAAAAACAGCCAGGCGTTGTGGTGGGTGCCTGTGGTCCCAGCTACCTGGGAGGCAGAGGCAGGAAACTCGCCTGAGCCCAGGAGTTGGAGGTTGCTGTGAGCTGTGATGCCACAGTACTCTACCTAGGAGGACAGCTTGAGGCTCTGTCGCCAAAAAAAAAAAAAAAAAAGTACGGAACTAAAAAGTTGTGGGGCATCCTGTTATCTGGACTCTTGCTGTTTTATACTATTCCATAATAAGTTTTATTTAATTTATAAATTTTTAGAGATAGGGTCATTACAATCTGAGTGGTTTAAACTAGAAATTTATTCTCTCACAGTCCTAGAAGCCAGAAATCTAAAATCAAGGTGTTGGTGGGGCTGTGCTCCCCCTGAAGCCTCAGGATCCTCCCCGGCCTCTTCTAGCTTCTGGTGCCTCCTGTATTCCTTGGCATGGGGCCACATCACTCTGATCTCTACCTCCATCATCACATGACTTTTCTTCTGTGTGTCTGGAAATTTTAAGTCTCCCTGCACCTTCCCTGTGCAAGGATGCTTGTCATTCAATTTAGGCCCACCTCAATAATCCAGGATGAGCTCATCTTGAGATCCTTAACTGAATCACATCTGCAAAGATCCTTTTTCCAAATAAGGTCACTTTCCCAGGTTCAGGGATTTGCCATAGGGTATCTTTCAGGAGGCTTCTTGGCTCACTACAGAGGGGAACTTGCAGCCTTGGCTGAGGTTAACCACAGGACTTCCCATTTGGTTTTAGGGAGTAGAGAGTTAAACGCTCAGAGAATTAGGATCTTTAGATGCTTACGGAGAAGCTAGCAATTTCTATTTTAATGTGAGATTAGCTGCTTTTTATATAGGATGGTCATAAAGTTCCACTATTTTAAATCGTGCGTGAACTCTATGACCACCCTATATATTGGTTCAAATCACTTTAACGAAACCCGAGGTTGAAAAAAACACATCTGTGGGTAGTCGTAAACCTGTGAGTCACTAGTTCGCAATCTCAGTGTTGGCTTCTTTCACTTAGCGTCATATTTTCAGGGTTCATCCATGTTGTGATGTGAATTAGCACTCTGCTTCCTTTCTTTCTTTTTTTTTTTTTATTGAGACAGATTCTCATTTGGTAGAGTGCCAAGGTGTCATAGCTCACAGCAACTTTAAACTCTTGGGCTCAAGCAATTCTCTTGCTTCAGCCTCCCTAGTAGCTGGGACTACAGACACCCACCACAATACCCGGCTATTTTTGTTTGTTTGTTTGTTTTAGCAGGCCCAGGCCGAGTTTGAATCCGCCAACCCCAGTGCATGTGGCCAGCTCCCTAACCGCTGAGCTCCAGGCACCCAGCCTCTGCTTCTTTTCTGTGGCTGAATAATATTCCACTAGATGGATAAATCACATTTTATTTACCCATCATCCACTGATGGACATTTGGGCGTTTTCCACCTTTTAGGTATTACAGATGGCACTGCTGTGAGCATTCATGTTTTTGTATGGACATGTTTTGAACTCTCTTGGGTAGATACTTAGGGGTAGAGTTGGTGGGTCATCTGGTAACTCTATATTTAGCTTTTGAGGAACTGCCAGACTCTTTTCCACAGTGACTATACCATTTTGTATTCCCAGCAGCAATGCATGAGGGTTCCTATTTCTCCATGTCTATGTCAACACTTGTTGTTGTCTGTTTTTGTTTTTAATTATCACCATCCTTGTGGATGTGGAGAGTTAATGATTTTTAAAGCTGACTCCTTTTTTGTTACAATTAATTTACCAAATATCACCGTCCTTCCTCTATCTCAGGCATTGTGCTAGGCAACCAGGGAAAAATCATTGCAATCTGGGCTTTTGGGGAATGAGTGGTCAGCAGGAGAAACAGATGAGGAAACAAACAAGGATAAGATAGAATGTAGATGGCATCAGGGCCTGTAGAGACTGGGAGCAGGCTTAGTCTTGGCCTGCAGATGCAAGATGATACTGGTATGGACAATTGCCCCTGCTACCATAGAGGGTTCTTGCCCTCTGCACAAGAAGGAATTCAAGCACAGGTGCATGAGTGAGAGAAGGTCAGACACGAGATATAAGCTAAAGCAGAGAGGTTTATTGAAAGCACACTCTTACTGAAGAGAATGGCTGGCTGATCCCAAGAGGAACAGTTCCACCCCAGGGAACTGTCCTTTTATGCTAATCCCTAATAATATGCTAAACTTGGAGAGGAATATTCATGGATTTTCTGGGAAAGGGAAAGAGGGTTCCTTGTCCCTGGAACCCTCCCCTTTCTTGGCCTTATAGGGTAACTTCCGGGAGTGCCAGGGCATGTGTAAACTGTCACTGTGCTGGTGGGTGTGATTTTTACAATGTTAATGAGGGTAGTTCACTTAGGGATACTGTCATTTCAACTGTGCACCTGCCCCAATTAAAGGAATTCACCCTTTTACCTTAGAGAAAGATGTTATGGCCAAAGTAAAATAATAACTGAAGGGTCCCTGTTGGTTCCATTCCTCTGAGCTAAGCATAAGCACATTCTGTGACTTTCCTGTGCTGTTGGCCTTCTCCTTCTGACACCTGCCCTAACTGCCTGCGGGGTGTCTGACTCCTGTCACAGGGGTAGGAAGAAAACAGAGGCAGGCTGGCTGCACGGGCGTGTGCATGTGCAGTCTGTGCTGTCCCACACAGAGAAGGGCTGTGCTTAACTTAATGCCTTTCAGTCACTGTCTTGAAACTTAGAATAATTTTTGCACAAGAGGCTCCATGGTTTGCACTGGGCCCTGTTATGTAACCAGTCCTGGGTAGTTGTCCCAGCTGAAGAAGGGTCTGAGGAGGTTTCTCTCCATGGTCTCATCCTTGGCTTCAGGGGGACTCTGCTGGGGTTTTTTTTTTGTTGTTGTTGTTTTGTTTGTTTGTTTGTTTTTGTAGAGACAGAGTCTTACTTTATCACCTTCAGTAGAGTGCCGTGGCATCACATAGCTCACAGCAACATCCAACTCCTGGGCTTAGGCAATTCTCTTGCCTCAGCCTCCTGAGTAGCTGGGACTATAGG